TAAATCCAATCAATTTAAATATTTAACTTATACCTATTACTCATTTTTTTTATTTTAGTACAATACTAAAATCATTATTTTAAATTGAACGCAACGTAATACATTTTTTTTTCTTAAACTAATTTCTTAAAATATTTTATTTTAAAGTAATAAAATAAAAGTAATTAAATTAATATTATAATAAAAATTAGTACTTGTGAGTGATGGGGACGGACAAATTTCGCCCCGTCAAAAATCCCTTTAAAAATTCCCATACATGCAATTTGCGAGAACAAAAACGAGAGGCACTTTTCAACCACAGGGCCATGGTCATCCCTCTGTGTGACTCCTCAGCATGTATAAATGGCTATCTTTATCTTAATTTTTATATTTCTTATGGGTTGATTACCTCTTTATTGAATGAAAAAAGTTTCAGTGACAATAACAAAGGTGTGTTTTCAATTGTTACTAACTCTATTTATCTATATTACTTTTCTACCTTTAATATAGTTAATATTTATTTATTTATTTTATATATTATTAATTGTTTACTTGTTTCCCTTTTTTTTTTTTTTTTTTTTTGGTGTAAAATGCAGAACTGCTTGAATTCTGAGAATCCGGAAAGTTATTGCAGTTATATGGGGGAACTTACTAGGAGAGTATGCAGAGGTGTAAAACTTAATTAGTGTTTAGGTTTCGTTTGGAATTATGTAGTTATTTATCGTAAATGCTTTAGATTTGCCTCTGTAGTTGTTAGTGTAATGAGAGTTCTGAGGCTATTTCTGGAATTATATTAATATTTTGTGTTTTTCTTTAAAATCAAGATTTTTTTAACTTTATACAAATACCTTCCATAGGTTGAGGATATTGGCAACAAAGATTTTATTGAGTCACTAACTTTAATTATAATTTTTTTAGTTTATGTTTGAGAATAGTGTCTATTTGTATTATCTCTTAAAAATTAAAAGAATAACATTTATGGTCTGTTTAGGTTGAGTGGAAGAGAGGGAAAGGAAAAAAAAAAATTCTTTATTTGGTTATAAAAAAAATTAAAAGGGAGGGGAGGGGAGGAGTGGAAAGGGAAAATTTTCCTTTATTTATTTTAATTTAATTACTTATTTAAGTGAGAAGAAGGAATGGGAGGTGAAAGGAAGGACCCTTTCCTTTATTTTTTTCAAACCAAATATAGAGTTAATGAAATGATATCATTCCATAATTGTTATTTGGTACCCTGGTTTCTTTTTTTTTTTTTAGGCAGTCCCAATTAGTTAGATCTCTAGTCTTCCTCGATTGATTTCCCTCTTCCCTTATCAAATTTCACTATTCTTTTACTTCAAATTTTGATTATTTATGGGCTCTTAAGGCGCACAAGGAAGAGTCAATTTTTTGGGATTTCTTCCACTAGTTCTTCACCATCCGCCTTCGGATGGATTTAGCAAGGAGGAGGCTGTGGTTTCTAGCTATTTTGGAGGTTCCTTCGACTCAGCAAAGGAGTAAATTTTGTGTTTTGACTTCGACTCCATCAAAAGGTATCTTTTTTTACTCTTTGCTTAAAAAGCTTTTTAATTACATGTAATTACATTTACTTTTTGTTGCCTGACTGATTGTTTTGTTTGTAGTACTTCTTCAGTTTCTCAACAAGTGATTCAGAATATTGATCATATACAATCAACTTAGCAAAGCGAGAGCATAAATTCATTTTTTGATATCTATGTGAACTCAATGACCTCTTTGTCTGAGTTTTTCAATCAGTATGCTAAAGCTCTAGAATGTCACCTTGATGAGGAAGTGACTGAAGACATATGGACCATGAGAGCAAAGCTCAATCCTAATCAATTGCATCGTTTAGAAGCTCAAGTAAGAAAGGTCTATAATAGAAAATTTTTTGAACGTAACAAAAGCATGTTTATATTGCATTTGTGGTGAAATGACCATTGGCAACGTGATGACCACTTGTGATGTTATTTATCAAATTGGGAGGAAAGCTAAGTCACATTATGTAAGATGTAGCCTATCGAAGGAAAAGTTTGCTTGTAATTGTGGAAAATTTAAGATTGCTAGTTTATTATGTAAACACATTCTAAATATAATGAGGCAAATTCATCGAATGAATGAGATTCTTAAAAGATATATTTTGGCTAGATGGATCTTGACTTATAAACAATGCAATAAGCAAATTAGGTGTGAATTGATTAGCACAACAAAAGATTTTATGATTTCTACTCTAGAAGTTTGGAATCTTCAAAAATCACTAAATATAGTGTAGGAGCGAGCAATAAAACATCATGATCATTATAGTGCTACAACACCACCAGTGCAGGAAATGATGAATATATTAAATAATGTTTACAAGGAACACGGAAGTGTGGTTCATGAACAAAATAAGTAAAATACTTGTACACAGTTTATATCCCAGGTGTAATTTTATGTAATATAATTATTCGTGATTCAAAAAGGGTTAAAACCAAGGGTTGGTTGAGTGACCTTATTTTAATATTAAAAATATCAAAATATAAAAATAAGTCATAATGTTTTAATTTTTACTCTTTTTTTAATTTTTAAATATCATAAGAAATACTTAATAAAAGTTATAAACATATAAAAAACAGTTACTTTCTGTGGCCGTACCCACATTGGTCAATTAATCGGCATAAAAATAAATTGAGGCAAAATGTAAGGAAGAAATTAAATCTAACTTTAGAGACCCAATTAAAGGGTTTTATTAGTATAATATTTTTTTTAACTTTAAAGTTAAGAATATGTGAAAAGTCAAGATATTTTAACATTAAATTGATATTTTTAATTTCAAGATATATACATGACAAGCAAAGTATAATACTTAAATGTAAGGATACTCTGATTTTTATTTTTTTTGTAAAATTAAAATCTTAAAAAAAAATTCATTAAAAAAAAAAGCGATTTTGAAATTTAAGAGGTGAAATCAAGACCATTTGATGCCATCTCTAGCGAGGAAAGCCCACTTTTAAGGGCGTTTGGGTAAGAGAAACTTTTTTCTAAATTTTTTAAAATTTTGTATAACTTTATTTATGTATTTTTATATATTAATATT